CATTTATACTCTCTAACTGATCTACTACAATTTTATACTTCAAAATAAAAGCACAGTTTTATAATGTGGGGAATAAAAGAGTGTTAAAGCAAAACAGAAACAAAATTAAAATAAATGAACGCGTAATGAACAAAAGTTTTAAGAGGTAATGTGATGCGGATAAATCATAAATTTAATCATCATTAGAATATCTCTTCTGGATACTGTATTTTACAGAAGAGTGATGGTACAGAGCGATATCATCCCTCCTCTGATCCCACTTTGGAGGTTCAAACAGAGAATCTGAGCTGTCAGGGCCGAGCAGTGTGTGTTTGTGAGTGTATGTTGAGCTCCTGCTGTGTGTTAACAAGCTGTCAACTATGTGTTACATGCACTTGGACACCAATATCACGCATTTTGGGTGTCTGATTTGTCGTTTTTTAAACATTTTTCTATCAAAAATGTTCGAGGATTTTACACCTGAGAGAGACGAGTCGAGCTTGAGGAGAGTGCAGGCTGCAAAGGCTAATCATTTAAAGTACACACACACACACACCTGCACGCACACACATACACCATTACAGCAGTGCAGAGTTAGCGAGGTGACAAAGTTCTCATGACTTTATGACATCAATATGTGCGAATATGTCCATAAACTCTGCAGGTAAACATTAGGACGCCTCAGGGACGAGCTGATCAATACTTATTCCAGAAATCATGTTCAGCGGTGGGAAAAAGAACTCGCCGTCACTTCTTATCATCAGAGTTTCTGTTTCACCTCAGATAGTCAGCTCCACCCTCAGTCACCTCATTCTTCTTTATCTGTTTTGTTTAATAGATTCTTTAATATCATATATGTGAATGGAAACTTTCATAGTAAAATCAAGTCAAATCAGAAATACCAATAACTGCAGCTCTTCAAGTGTCCACTAGGCGGTGTCTCCAAAAGTGAGTTAACGTCTCGGCATCGAATATGAAAACAGGATTTGCTGTTTGCCTGATCATAGATGGGACTTTTTTTTGTTAAAATCTGATATTTTAACTGTTGACTGAAACATTATGTGCTGCTTTCTTTCGGTTCAGAGTCGCATATTTATAATTTTGACTTTGACAAATTACCTTTTTAAAAGTTTATAAAGTCGTAAAGCTTTGTGTTGTGTTACTTTTTAGCTCACTAATATAAATCTTTAATGGTTTATATTTAGAAGTAACCAAAAATTAAATTGACATGATGTGAAATTAAAATTTAATGATATTTTTTAGTCAAAAGAATTATTATTATTATTATTATCATTATTACATCGGATTTCTCAGAACATAATTTTTCAGGTTGCTTGTTAGCGACTTGTCTTAAAGCTCCCCAACATTAAAAGTTCCTCACAGGAGCTTTAAACCTTTTCATTTCATACAGTTAATATTAATTATTTTTCAGATTTTAGGAAGTAAAACAGATTATTCTAAATATTTAAATCATATCAGAGAAATCTTGACGTGTAAAAAGTGTGATTTAATTTACAATCTGCAGTCGTTGAACAGAAGCTGTTCCCTTTATATAACATCAATATAAAATCTATTAAACTCTTGAAAACACAAATACTTGTGTATGTGTGTGTGTCAGAATTATTGTAGCTTTTATGTGATTTTACTGCAGCAGACTAACTAAATACTCATCAGTGTAAAACAATAAATCCTCCATAAATCCATAAAGACAGATAATTTCTCTGTAGACGAGGGGAGAAGAGGACGGAGAACGACGGATGATTGTCGGTTTGAATCCCTAAAACGCAGCAGCGCCCATGAGCAGGACTTATTTAGAAACATCATGTTTTAACACTGAGAGAGAAGAAGTGAAAGAAAAGTTGTTTTTAATGATTATTTCCTGTAATTTTCTGACCTGAGGATCTTTTAATCCCAGTATTTATCTTTAAGATCAGCATGATGGTTAAATGAATATATTAAAGTGATTAGAGACTCATTTAACCATGTGTGACTTTAATATTTACTTTATATTAAGTCTGTTTTTGCTTAATGCTTCCTACTGCACCTTTCATGTGTATTTACATAGTGTAAAGAAAAAAAAAACAGATTTATGTGGATAAATCTTGGTGCCCTTTTTACGTTCTTTATTACAATCTCAAAGAAACAACTAAAAATATGTTTTCTTTATATCAGTGAATTCAACAAATAAATGAGTTCAGGATTATTGTGCACACAAAATCACGACAAAACTCTAATAAATGAAAAAATTCTAAAAATGAAAATAATCAAAAAGACTTAAATCTTATCAAATGGACCCATTTTGTGGACATTTTTAAAGTATAGTCCAGGATTAGTACAAAAGCGTTGGTGTAGCCTACATATGATCAGCATCATCAAGCATTTATTACAAAAAACAAATTGAGCTGATTTGAACTTCAGTAACACCTTAAAAAAAATATAAAAACTATTGTAGGGAATCACAAACTGAAATTTTCAGGAAATACTACATACGATATAAAGTCAAACATTTATTAATTTGTTGCACATTTCCCCTAAACCTTCAAAAGTCACGACCAATCCTAAAAAATCCACTTAACTTATTTTTTTCTTTCTTTGACTTCCATAAACATGGCTGCATGACAGAAAAAAGAACCAAAACACCTTCAAATATAAAAATGTAAAAGTTATGTAAGTTTTCGATACACATAAACAATCTAAAAATGCAGAAGTCCCTTGACTATAATTTCTATTAAGTCACAATCATTTGTCTAAAGCATCAAACTGATTTAAAAGTTATTGATCAATGTTTTATCTTAAGTTTGGTTCCCATTCAAAGTGAAAGAGCACAGAAGGAGAAGAGCGAACCCGAACATTTCAGGGGAAGAGATAAGACGGACTCTGCTTGTGTGTGAACTGGGCGTCCATCTTGTCTCTGCTTCCCCTTGTCACCTGTCTCCAGGTGAACCATTAACCCGCTAACGGCCATAAAACTCCACTTTATGGAAAGTTTGATGATGGCGGCGGGTTGTAAACACTGGAGCTCTTTATGGCCTCGCCGGCTTTGTTGCTCACCTTGACACAGTCTGCATGCGAAATAAACGTCAGTGAGATTAACCCCCCGAAACCCACCGACACAGCTTTTATGTAGCCGCGAGCTCAATTTGACACAGCATAGTGGGCTTTGACACTCTTTTAATTAGGACTGGGATTTTAGATTTTAACTTGGATTAAATCACAAACATTCTGGTTATGAGACATTACGTCTTAGCATGCATAATAAGGTGTTCTCGTTTTCTGGTTGATTTACTTTGTATGTCACCGAATCATTTTTTAAAGATTTACTATTCACTTTCTTAATTAAACATTCATATATGTGACATGTATTTTCCTATGTCTCTTAAAGAAACATGAACAAGAAGAGAAAATAACCTCTTAAACATTTGACTACAAGCTGCTGCTAGTTTGGATGTAGCACAGTGAGCGCCATGGCTTTGTCCACAGGGGGCGCCAAATTTCACTGCAAATTAAAATTGTTGTGACACTCTTTATCTGCAGTTTTTGTAAATGAATAAATAAATAAATAAATTAAAAAAAGACAAACAAACAAACATTAATAAATAAAACAAATACAAACGCAGATAAATATTGCACATGCAATGCTCAGTGGCGGAGCTTGACATTTTTGATGGCGGTGGATTTTTCAGGAGACGCCATAAAAAATTTCAACAGAGCTATTTACAATTCTTGTTTACTTTTGAAGGTCATAAAGAGACATTAGATCATTTCTAATTGGTTTCATAACCAGTTAGAACACCTCACTGGAGCTTTAAAATCATATAGTGACAAAAATCAAAGAGAATTACGGTGCAGAATATCACTATAACATCTATATAAACCATCATTTATCACCCATTTACCTATCAATTTACAACAGTGTGTAATTGCTTTCAACACTTTACATGAAAATGTATTTAAGTTCGATAATCAACACAATTAAAGTCAATTGCAGGTAATCATGTCATATAAATAGAGACAGATTGAAGCTGCAGCCACATAACTGCACCACTGTGATAGTAAAGAAAATATAAACTGCAGTTGTAGAGAGTTTACACCCAAATGACATTAAAGGTGATTTTCACATGCCACAGAACTGTGGAGTTTCTTATATGTTTGCTTGACACCTGAAACTTTTATATATTTATGATAATACAGATAATTTAAACCATAATATACTGGCATAGTGTGTCTTTTTTTTGTTGCCACAGCACAGTTTGTACACTCCATCATGTGTCTGACAGTATCAGGCGCCTATTTGTTCCCTCAGTGTAGAATAGTCATATATGTGCTGCTGCCACCTTGTGTTTTTTTAAGAGAATAGCGGAATTGGTAATTAAAAAAAACTATATATTTTAATTAATATGTATTCTGCCATGGTAAAAAAATCAAATATAAAAGGATGAATCAGCCTGCAAAATTAAGACAGTGCTCCCTACTTCACATTTAAATCAACATCAATCATTTTGCTATTTTTAAGATAAAATTAAAGTGTTTAGGTAGTTTAGGTCAACTGAATGTTACTATAGTTATGGATTTGTCAACAAATAATGTCTCTTAGAGTAAAGTATATTAAAAAATACTTGGTGTGAGGTAGTCAACAATAACCCTGATACTGATCATTTGGAGGTCTCAATACTGCAACAAAAAGGCTGATTTGTTATATGGTTCAATGAAGAGCTCTAGATTTGGATCGTTCAAAGCAGCTGGAACTATAGTGGTGACAGATATAAAACTTTACTACAGGTTTATGTGAAAATAAATGAATTTGAGATACTTTAGTGATAGCTCAGTAAAGTTTCCCTCCGTTTTTAGACCTCTCACTCTGTTTTCCGCTTGACCGAGCGACCATGCGCAGATGGAATGAAGCCCCCTCAGAAATCAGCCAATCATGTGCGGGGGACAGCACAGCCTTATTTGCATCTATACCATATAAGAATCCCAGCGCGGCGCTGTGAGGACACTCTCGACGTCAACCAAACGCCGACATGCCTGAGACAGTGAAAGCACCGAAGAAGGGATCCAAGAAGGCCGTTTCCAAGAGCGTGAGCAAGGGCGGTAAGAAGAGAAAGAGGACCAGGAAGGAGAGCTACGCCATCTACGTCTACAAGGTCCTGAAGCAGGTGCACCCCGACACCGGAATCTCCTCTAAGGCAATGGGCATCATGAACTCCTTTGTTGGTGATATCTTTGAGCGCATCGCCGGTGAAGCCTCTCGTCTGGCTCACTACAACAAGCGCTCCACCATCACCTCCAGGGAGATCCAGACCGCTGTCCGTCTGCTTTTGCCCGGGGAGCTGGCTAAGCACGCCGTGTCCGAGGGAACCAAAGCTGTGACCAAGTACACCAGCTCTAAGTAAATGTGAAAATCGCCTAAACTCACCCAAAGGTCCTTCTCAGGGCCACCCACATCTTCCTCAAAGGGCAAAAATACCGATTGTGTTGTGACTGAAGGTCTACCACTGAAATGCATATATATATTCACGTGTGTGTCTATTCTCATTTAGTGTTTACTGTTTGGTTTTCAGGTATAACGTTCTATAAGTAGAGTACATATCCTGAATCTGCCTTAACAGTGTTGTAGAGTTACAGCAACCATTTTGTTCCCTTGCTGTGTACAGGTCAAGTACAAACCTGCCTCAACTTCTGTATCACATTTAGTGCTGTACTGTGACGCATAACAAATAAAACAGTCAAAGAACAAGATAAAGCAAGTAGAAATACATACCAGCTAGATTTAACCTCTCAGCATTGTGGTCTTCTTTCCTTCCACCACAACATCTTTCAAGATCTTTTTCAAGATTTATTAATTTGTCATGTGCATATAAAACAAGGTCAACAATGGAATGATATTCCTTGTATGAAAAGACTGTTCATATCAAAGGAGTAAAGACAAATAAAAATTAGTGCTGAAGAAATACAATGAAATAAGGATACAAAAAATATTAAAGAGGAATATAAGTATAAGAAGTATATACAATATATACAAGTGCACAAGCAATACAGTAGGTGCTAGTATAAAGTATAAGTATAAATGTATGAAAGTGAGGTTAAGTCTGTGGGATAATGAGGTATGAAAATTGCCATATTCCACAAGATAAATTATGGTGTACGAATTGATGTATTCCATATCACAGATAATATTGCACAGTTAAGTTGGTTATTATTGTCCAGTAGGTACTGTACCTTTTTTACCTGGGGCCATTTTATCATACTGATGAAAGAAAACAGAAAATAAAACAAGGGCCTGTTACTTAGTGGCCATGTGACTAAGGCTGCAGTCATATGACAGGAGAGCACTAATCTTGGGCACAGAGTCAGTAACAATGAACTATTTTACAATGGGACAGAAACAGAGAAACAGAGACATTAACAGAATAAATCAAGTATATGTGACACCTGCACATAGAGTGTTTTTGAAACACCCAATAAACTAACCTCCATACAAATATCTGAACACGTCAAACAAAATATTAAACACTCAGAAACCTAGTCATTCACTAACTATATAAAGTAGGCTGATGTGCTATAAGCATACAAGGAGGAAAGGCCCATTTAATCACTTAAACAACCATGAACATTTCAACATTAAAACGTAGATGCAAAACTTTGTTAGATATTTGTTTGATTGGCGGAACCACTGAGTGTTCTTCTTTTGAATAATGATATAATTTTAATGCTAAATCAAATCAATCAGTCACCCAAGTTACCAAAACTGAAATTCAATTGTGTGTTCTTGTTTATTTATATGTTTTATATTTATTCATAGGTGTTTGTATTACCTGGGTGCTTTACCTTTTAAAACAATATTCCCTTCCCTTTAAACTTAATGCACTAATATTGAAGCTACCCTAGTGGTCATAAAACAGCATTTAAAAAAAAAAGGCCGCCAGGTGTCTTCTGATTGGTTGTACCAATCTGACCAATCACAGAAGGGCGTTCAAGCACTATATAAGCAGGTCGGCGCAGCGCTTCAGACAGCTTTCTTTAGAACGCCTTTTGAGATACAGGAAACATGTCTGGACGCGGAAAGGGAGCCGGTAAGGCCAGAGCCAAGGCAAAGACCCGTTCTTCCCGGGCTGGGCTCCAGTTCCCCGTGGGTCGTGTCCACAGGCTCCTCAGGAAGGGCAACTACGCCGAGCGTGTCGGTGCCGGAGCCCCCGTCTACCTGGCCGCCGTGCTCGAGTACCTGACCGCTGAGATCCTGGAGTTGGCCGGAAACGCCGCCCGTGACAACAAGAAGACCCGTATCATCCCCCGTCACCTTCAGCTGGCTGTCCGCAACGACGAGGAGTTGAACAAGCTGCTCGGCGGAGTGACCATCGCTCAGGGAGGAGTGCTGCCCAACATCCAGGCTGTGTTGCTGCCCAAGAAGACCGAGAAACCTGCTAAGAAGTAGATCAATTCTTGTCTACTCCAACTCAACGGCCCTTCTAAGGGCCACCCACATACAACTAAAGCTCATTCTTGGGGTGTTGACCCGAAATATTTCATTAGTTGAATCATAGAATAATGAGAGTTTCCAAACCGTTGTGTTTAATACTACTTTACATATGTGGTTAATCATTAGTAAGGTCGTTTGTATACTTTGTGTTTATGAGCAAGTGAAATGATCTGATTTAGAATTAAACATATTTCTTAAAACATCACTTATGTTTGAAGTTTGGGATTAAACAGGGAAACTGCAGAGGTGAGACCCTTTCTGTTTCAAAGTGACAGGCTAAATGACTGATGCTCTATTCTGTGTTGCACCAGAGAATACCACTAACCAGCTTCAGCTCACTTGAATCCTGCAGTAACAGTGCTGATTACTTTATCATGCTTTTTGCTCTGGCCTTCCTTCAGACTTACACCAGACTATCTGTAAGGGATTTTAGTTTATAACCAGAATGCTCTTTTACATTTTCTGGCTCGTTAATTACACATACATACATAGCGGCAGTCCAGTTGTTTAATTTTCTATAATTGATTATATTTGTACCCTCACTTTTCAGTGGAATCTACATTATAAATGTACACAGTTTAGTTTTGTGTACACAGAAACTCTGAGAAGACCAACAAGTCATACTGCTTTAAGTTTTCCCCTTTTTAATATATATCCTACTGTATGTGATCGCTCAAATTGGTATATATTTGTATATGCTTTTCCTGTGTATAACGATTTTTTTTTTCTACATGCTTTTTTTCTGTTTGTTTTTACCAATTTTTATTTAATAAATTAAAGAACATATAGCTAGATAAGATGACTCTGCAATAATCCCCTGGGATATTTTTTTATATTTTTTCTTATGGTGCTAATCAAGTAAAAACAGGAGATACATTAGTAGATAAAATAAGTTAGTATAGTGATGGGCACAGCAGTTCTTTTAGATGTACTGAATCATTAGAATCAGTTCACTAAAAAGATTTGTTCAAAAGATTTGTTCATCAGATCACTGAATCATGTAGCTCTTGGCAGAAGAAGCCTGTGTCTCCAACCTGCTGAACGTTTCAGGATTCAGTTCACTTCAGAGCTTCTGGAACCAGGAGACGAGAGTGTTAGGCTGTGTTTCTTTGGCAAACAGGTTTGTAAAAATGAACTTGTTGTCAGGATGATTTAAAGATGTCATGATGCCATTTATCAGGTCTGCTCAGTAAAAAAGACTCAGTGGGTGATATATTACTAAACGGTTAAAAGAAATTAGACTGAACATGCACCGTTCCCCCAAAACCGCTGCAGTGATAGGATGCTGCAGGTCTAATGCACTAGTAGTAGTTTTGTCTGACAATAATGATTCCAGAGAGTGTGGTTCAATGAGTGATACGTTAACTACGTGTTTCAGGTGTCAGTGTATGTGGTCCCTCGTTTGCCGGCTGCCTGACTGGCAATGCGGTTCCTCACTTCAAAGTTTACAATTGCCAGTTTACAACTGTTGCAAAACTCAGCAGCACATGTGCTGACAAAGACCAGAAGGGCACACATTACACCGATTTTAAAATCAGTGCATTGGCTCCCTGTGTGCTTTAGGATTGATTTTAAGGTCCTTTTAATGGTATTTAAATGTCTTAGGGGTCTTGGACCTTCTTATCTTTCAGAATTGCTTTTACAATATGAACCCTCATGGACCCTGAGATCCTATGGCCCTGGTCTTTTAATAGTCCCCAAAGTGAGAACACGAACTTACGGTGAGGCATGTTTCCAGCACTATGGCCCCCGTCTTTGGAATAGCCTGCCGGAGGACCTTAGGGCCGCAGAGAACGTTCATATTTTTCAGAGCAGGCTCAAGACCCACCTATTTAATTTGGCTTTCAACTAATGTCTTATTTTAAATCTATATTTTTATCCTATTTTGATCTTTTTTTATTTCATTTATCTATTTTAGTCCTCATTTTTCATGTTATGTTTATTATATTTATTAACTTATTTTTTAAATGGTATTTTAGCTATTCATCAGTAATTTATAATTTTATCTAGTTTTTATGTTTTTAGCTGATTTAGTCTATGTTTTTATTGCAATTCTCCAGTGTTTCCTCAGTAGGGGGACCACCTGCACTGGAGGCTGTGACTGGCTCTGTCTAGGGTTTCTCTGCCTCGTGGTGTGCGCTCAGCTCGGCTAGATGGTGGTCTGCAGCAGTGCTTGCTGCTGTGGGCCCCTTACTGGCTTGTAGCGGGGTGCGCACCCGGGTGGAGGTGTCCTGGCCCTGGGCCGTGAGCAGCCTCCACTGCAGTCGGCCAACTGATGTTTCCTGACTTGGCTCCTCTGTACTCAGCCACATGTTTTTAAGATTGCCTTATCTGTGTGTGTGTGTGTTGGGATAGGCTCTCGTGAGGGTTGGGGGGGTGGGGTGGCGGGCCAGATATGGGGGGTTGGTTGTTTTAATTTGTAAAGCACTATGTGCTGCATTTCTTGTTGCCAGAGAAGTGCTGTATAAATAAAGTCTGATTTGAGAGTGAAACGAAGAAATCACTCTAGGACTTGATTCGGTTAAGTACTTCCACTTAAAAGATTCGGTTCTCTTGAACAGATCATTCACGAAGGACAAGACACCTTATATTTGCTCATTTCATGATTTAGGGATCAAGTTAGTAAGACATTCTCTCATAGTCTACTGTAAAGTGCATGCAGCAGTTCATTACAACTTAGGTTTGGCAAGATCAGTTGTTGGTATACACTTCCATTTCACATTAGTATGGTTCAGGGAGGATTCTTGCACAATTCTTAGTTACTTATGGTAAAAAATTCCTACACTGAGGTGATTTTTTTATTCATTATTTTCTTTTATTGTAGTAAAACATAACATGGAACATTATTCTCCTGAGTAGTTGGTGGGCGGCTCTTAAAAGAGCCTTTGGTTTTAATGTTTTCAAATCAGCATCAGA